GCCAGACAGCAGGGGTTCACTAAGACAGAGGACTGGTGGCTTCTTCCAGGGGGGCACCCCATCCTACCAGAAGCCCTGGGGCCACCCATTCTCTTGCAGATTCATCATAGCACACACCTGGGTTCAACCAAATTAAAGGAACTAAACAGGGACAAGTACTTCCTACTCCACCTAGGTGAAAGGGTTGGACAGATTAGCTAGGGGTGCTGTCTGCACCAGCTGAACCTGAGGAGAGGAAAGCCAACACCCATGGGTGTTTGAGAAAGGGAACACTGTCCATGAACACTGGGAACTGATTTTACTGAAGTTACTCAGACAAGGTTTGGCTACCAGTATTTGCTAGTTTTTGTCGATTTTTTTTTCAGAATGGGTAAAGTCAGAAACCGCTAATGTAGTTGCTAAGAAGTGTAGTGATATTTCATTTGTATTTTAATAAATAAAGCTTGTCTGAAGATGGAGAGTAAAACAGCCCCACTTGTCAGTCTTACAGACCAGGCAGTGGTGACATACACCTTTAATCCCAGTAGCCACACTAGTTTGCCATAGAAACCAGGCTGTAATGGTGCACGCCTTTAATTCCAGCCCCAGAAAGGAATATAAAATGGGGGGAGACATATCTTACTCACGGTCTCATTCTGAGATTCTTGGAGGCAGGATCGTCATTTCGAACTGAGGTAGAGGTAAGAGCCAGTGGCTTGCTGTTTTGCTTTTCTGACCTTCAGGTTGAACCAGAATTTCTGTCTCTGGATTTTTATTAATCACGCTACAAAGAAGCTACCAGTGAATATCATTCCCCAATTTGCCCTTCCCTCCTCTTTGGCATCTGACAATGGTACAGCCTGCATGGCCAAAGTGTCTCAGCAAGTGACTAAAATTCTAGTAATATAATTGGAAATTATACTGCGCCTACAGGCTCCAAAGCTCAGAACAGGTAACCCTAATAGGACTATTAAATATTAATTATGTTCTGGACAGAAACTGGCGAGTGCAGAACCAAATTGCTCCCTACTGCTCTTTTCGGGATCAGGTGCTCCCTGTACCGAGACAAGCTGAAATAATTTAAAATAATATTTGGCTGACTGCCTCCGCTTCTTCCCGCCGAGGGAAGGCCACAGATTAGTGAAATGTCTCATCATGCCTTCAAGACCTTAGAATCCCTGCAGTAGGCAACTAGAGGCACCCAGAGTCATCTATCACCCCCACCACCTGTTCCATCTTTGATTGAACCAGCACACAAATTCAATCCCAGGGTGATGTGAAATGTCCTTCTGGATACGTGTTGCTTTTATTGGTTGCTAAATAAAGCTGTTTCGGCCAGTGGCCAGGCAAAATATAGCTAGGTAGGAAGTCCAAACAAAGATACAGGGAGAGAGAAGATGAAGTCAAGGAGACTCCATGTAGCCACCGGGGAAGCAAAATGTGAGGTAACAAGCCACAAGCCTCTTGGTAAAATATAAACGAATAGAAATGGGTTAATTTATAGAGCTAGCCAGTAAGAAGCCTAAACCATTGGCCAAACAATCGTAACTGATAATAAGCCTCAGAGTGGTTATTTCATAAGCGGCTGCAGGGGCCCAGGAAGTGGAGAGAAACCCGTTCAGTGGCACTGTGGGACAGAGAAAGTCCGCCATTTACACCAGGGATGTGTGTGTGGGTCTGGCACTTACTCAGCAAAACTCTGGAACCTTCCTGAAAGGAACTGTGTGCTGTGATTCTGACAACAGCAAAAGCCATCACAGTAGTGGGGATCACAGCTTGAATCCACCACTCTCTCCTAAAGGCAGCCACAGCCAGCCACGAGAAAGGTGGCAAGTGAAGGGTAATCCAAGATCCCTAGAGCACTTCAAAGGCGTGACTCTTCTGCGCCTTGAACTCAGACTGGTGCTAATACTGGGACTCTTGGGAGGTGACTCCCATTATGTGACCAACTAAAAATGTTGACCTCTGGAATTAGGAAGTCTCTCAAACCACAGATGGGAAAGTAGCAGGCATTTTCCAGATCACCATCTCCTGACTTACGTTTAGGTTCAAACTGGGCAGTTTCTCTAACTACAGCAAACTTAAGGCCGAATGATGAACTTGCAGTCCCGTTCATCTGGGGTTTAGAACCAAAACATGGGAAATATTCTTATGGTCCTCACCATTTTGTGCATGTCTGGCAGATAGGCCTACACATTGTCAGAAATGGAACAGAGGCAATCACTGCTCCACCCGGGGCTATGAGACTGAGTCTGACCAGGGTGGGCACGAAATCCACAGATCTCCTTCCAGAGATTACAAACCTAGGACCTGCACTCCCTCCACTTTAAAGATCGAGGCCCAGAATGAAATGACCACCAGACACTGGTTTCCAGGCCAGACCTGGAGATTTGTGATTAAATTTATAAATTATGGCACTAGTCCCAGGTAGAATTCACTATTAAAAAAGGTATTGCCCCACCCAGTCAATTCTACAGACCCCAGAAAGAACTGGCTACTTCAACTAAAGACTAGGATGTCTCCTTTCCCTATTCTCCCTCTCTGGACCACTTCACCCAGGGTAATAAGTCAGTCCATAGTCACAATCAAAGAGCGTATAGTACCAGACTTAACCTCAACCGCACTCCAGAACACAGTTACAGTTTCATTCCCCACTGATGTCCCTGACTTTGAGCTCTTAAGGTTATTATATCATTGAATACACCATACACTCCTCTGCCTGGGAAGAGATCACTAGCTCTGTCTAGACCCAAGCTCTGCTTTCTATGTGGGCGTAAGGACCAATCCCTCCCATTACCCCAACTACTATCCCACCAGAAAAAAATAAATTGTAACCCAGAGGAAGCGAAGCTCACTTGCTTAACCTCTTTAACTTATCATCTCTCAGCTTCCCTTTACCCAAGCTTGTAATGTTCACCTGTATGCCAGCATGTCCGAACATATTAGGAACTACTTCCTGGCTCCCGTAGCGGCAGGTAGGCCTGCACAGTCAGCCTTGCTAGGGGTGTGACAGCTGAACATCTCGAATTAGGACCACAGGAAGGAAATGTCTCCTCTAACCACTATTCTCCCCCAAGCAGACAAGTGCACTGGAGAGGAAGGTAGAACCCGTTTGCCTGCCTGCATGTATACGACACTCTGACTAGGAGATCCGTCACGGCCTTTTTACGGAAAAGAGAATAGCCATCCCAGTGGTCGTACTCCTCTGACAGCAGGAGTCACGGGTGCAGGGGCCTTGGGAATGCCAGTCTTCATTCTGCAAGACCAGAATGTTAAAGTATCGAGTAGTAAAGGAGAGCAATATATACAGCACCTAAAGGACTTCAAGAGACAGCTAGAAAAGCAAGTCGGTCTCCTAGCGGAACTGCTGTTAAAATACTGTTGGCGACTACATTTGTTCCTCTTGAAGAAAGGAGGACTTTGCCCTGCCTTAGGTGAAAAATGCTGGGTTTTTATGTCAATAACTCGGGGTTATATGGGAAACACTAGCTATGGTTCAGGAAAACCTAGATACAAGGGAGAAGGAGAGAAGTGAGGCTTCTAACTGGTACCTTTCTCTTGGTTCCCTTGGCTCACAACCCTCCTGCCCTTTAACTGCCATAGCTGAGCTTAGCATTGAAATTGGCCCTTGCATTTTATTTTATTTTGGTTTTTCAAGACAGGGTTTCCTTGTGTAGTTTTGACTGTCCTGGAACTCGCCCTGTAGACCAGGCAGGCTGACCTTGAACTCACAGAGCTCCACCTGCTCCTGCCTCCCTCTGGAATTAAAGGGTTTGCCACCAACGCCCAGCTGGCCTTTGCATTTTAAATTGGTTGCTAACAGGCATTAAAAGAAGAATTCGCTCTGCTAAAACATTAGCCCTACAAGTGTAGCATCAACCTGTACCTCAACAGGAACCATTGATTTGATTCATTTGGTTCAGAGAGAGTGGGAAATGTAATGGCTAAGGAAACTCTTAGGACCTCCTAGGAGGGCACCTGGTACGGAATGGTTAAGGAATGGTTAAAATCCCTGTCTTCGATTAGGCTTGAAAGCTGTGGCCCTGCCGCCGTTTTTAATAAATTCGGCTAATTACAATTTGAATTGAGTCTTGAATTACATAACAAAATGAGTGGGGAAGGTGGAGGCGGGCTCCTGTAGGGGATAATCAAAGATCTGGGCAATGGGGTTGGAGCAAGAATGCTGGGGACCTGATGCTGTGGAGGGTTATTAGGGAGCAATGTCGTGGGGGTGAGGAGTGGGCACGGCTCGGATAGGAGGGTGAGACCTAATAAGTGTGGAGAAGCTGGGCCCTGGGTGGGAGGGGATGTTATGTAAGGTGCTGTGGCTGAGGTCCTGGAGTTAGTGTGGAAGGAGGATGTTTCGGGCGCTATGAAGTGACATTTGTTTGCTTCGAGAACAAGCAGACCTTCATTGGCTAGGGTCTGGAGCCAAGGTGGCCAGCTTTTGGTGACGATGGAGAACTGTCTTGCGACATGTGTCACACACACACACACACACACACACACACACGTTGACAGGTTGCAAAAGCCTCCCTCTGGTTAGTTTGTAAGAAGAGATAAAAGGGTTTGTGTCGATCTGGAAGGGCTGGGGTAGACGTGTAGGAGAGTGGACTTGAGTAGGTTTATGGGAGGAAGGAGGGATTGGAGGAATAGGAATGCTTCTACCAGGGGCCTTTAGTGGCCTCATAAGTTGAGCATCAAGGGAGATGTTGGCCATTAAATGCAGAAGTTAAAAAGTCCTAATGATTCAAGCAATTCACCTTTGGTTTGGAGAAGGATATAGTCAAGGAATTCCTTCTCCCTGGCTCCCTGGGTATAATTCTCCTTTTGTGAGATTGAGAGGCCCAGGTAGGTGACCAAGGATTGGCAGATCTGGGTCTTGTGTTGGGAGACCCTCTCTCCCTAAGTGGCCAGAAAGTTGAGAAGGATAGTGCAGTGTTGGAGATTTGTCTGTGAGGATTGGTTATCTAAGAAGAGAAGATTGGACATCCTGCCTTTCACTGTCCTCTAGTCCTCGCATGCAATCCCTCTGCATGTTCACCGTGAACACCAACGTTCCCCGCGCCTCCGTGCCAGAGGGGCTTCTCTCCGAGCTCACCCAGCAGCTGGCGCAGGCCACCGGCAAGCTGGCACAGTACATCGCAGTGCACGTGGTCCTGGACCAGCTAATGACTTTTAGCGGCTCTAGCGACCCCTGCGCCCCACATAGTCTGCACTGTTAGTCTTCTGCTGTCACTTTAAGAACTAACCACGCCCACCCAGCCACTTCTGACCTCCCCCTTCGCCATCTTTCTCTCTCTCTTGTGTGGTTGTCTCCTGTCCTGTGCACACGTTTTTCTCTGTCTCTGTGTCTTTATGTCTTTATATTTGTCTATCTCTGTCTCTCTGTTTTTCTATTTCTTTTTAAGAAATAAATGTTTACCCTTATGTTTATTTACTATGTCTTGTGAGCCTTTTATCCGCCGTAACCGCCCGCCTGACTGCCCCCCCCCCCCCCCCCCCACCACATGGCGTTGCAGGGACTCACGGCCATCCTTGCCAGACTCCGCGAGCCGCCTGGGACATCCCATCATCATATTCTTTTTAAAAGAACAAAATGCACAGCATTGGCAAGATCGGAGGTGCACAAAACCGCACCTACAGCAAGCGACTGTGCAGCCTGCTGGCTGCTCACCTGCACATCAGCCCTGACCGGATCTACATCAACTATTACGACAGGAGCACAGCCAATGTGGGCTGGAACGGTTCCACTTTTGCCTGAGTGCTGGCCTAATAACTTACCTGGACCGCTGTTCTTGGAGCCTTGCTGCACGCAGCGTTGTTTTCGTCCACACACGTAGCAATGCCCACTCTCTGATCGGGAGAAATAAATGGTTGAGAGAGAGAGAGAGAGAGAGAGAGAGAGAGAGAGAGAGAGAGAGAGAGAAGATTGTCTATATATTGGAGAAGGAAACTAGGGAACAAATTGAGGTTGGTGAGATCCTGTTGTAGGTCCTGCCCAATTAGGGCTGTCTCCGAATCCCTGGGACAAGACTTGTTAGGGAGATAAATGGAACCATGACTTAGAATAATGTAGTACTGGCAAGATAGGAGCCTGCAGCTCAGATAAGACCTAGGCCCCAGGGCAAGCTCTGATCTCTGATATGTTAATGAACAAACCAGAAGGCTGCTCACCTGTAGCCAAGTCCAAGGTGAGTTTTGTTAATAAACTAGCCACAAGATGGCACTGATATATTAGTGAACCAGCCCTAAACTGTGAATCCCTCCCTATACAAATGAAATTATAAGGAACTCGTGGGATATTGGAAGTGGCCCGTAGGATTGCACTGCCATGCTCCTGAGACATGGCATCTTAAGAACCTTCCAGATTTCCACCAGTGCCATCCTCCTAGCCTGCCACAGCAGAAGACTTCATGGAGGATGTGGGTCGAGCTTGTGCAATTTGTGAAGCATCCTAACCAGAGCAGATTTCCCAGGGAAACCCTGCCTCCGCAGATTTCTGCCCAGCCAGCTGTTCTTCACTTGGTGGAATGCCTGTTCAACTTTTATATTACTCAACATGGTGTTATAAGGAATGATTATGTGAGCAAACGCAGTATATTCAAAAGATAAATCGTGTATGGATGGTTAATCCCATCGGGTGAGAATAAGACCACAACCACAATTTTGAGCCAGATTTGAAGCAAACTAAATACTGGCCATGATAATGGACTCTAGCCAGATCCTTTCCGGGGTTCCCAGAAGATAGCCACAAGTCACATTTTACAGAGGCTTATGAAAGCAATCCCATAAGGCTACATATATCCTACCAGGAACAATAAGGGGCAAGAATATATTTCCTGCCTGCACACATCCCGCTTACATCCAATTGGACAAGCATACATTCTGATGTGTTTTCTGCCTACATGCTTCCGGCCCACATGTGATCAAGTATATTCAGTGCAGTTGGGTCAAACAAACTTGTTTAGGGGAGCAAAAATGGGGCTTGGTGTTTCACATAAACAATAGCTGCAAGCATTTCAGGAAGCAGCTGTCCTTGGCCAAGTGGGGCTTACAGGATAGAGGCATTTTTTTTTTATTTTATGGATCTCTTAGGCACAGTGATTAAAGTTTTAAACCTAACTTTGACTCTCACAGGACATCCTGTTGCGCCTCGCTGTCTGCAACTGCATCAAGATAAGTTACCAGGTGTGCAGGGTGTTTGAGTCTTCCCTGAAGAAGGCAAAAAGGGCCTGGGAAGAGAGGTGAAGGGGGACAGTAAAGAAGACATCGCTAAGATTGAACATGGAAAAGAAGGCAGCCAAGGAGGGAATGGAAGAGAGGTGCTTGTCTAGGTTAGTGACCATGGATAGCTTGGTTGATTTTCCAGAGGTCCTAAACCGGTTGATATTTGATGCCTAGAATAGGAGTGTTGTGAAGGGAGTTGATGGGAGTTAAAAGGTGCTGGAGATGGCAAAACATAGCCCCCCCCCTCCATGTGCAGTTCCTAGGATACAGGAAGCAGTTCCCTCCAGGCAACCCAGTGGCAGCTAAGGTCAAGGACCTTATGTGCCCCAGGACCGCTTCTTTGGCATCTGCATACGCATTTGGCAATGTTCCAGGTGATTCTGGCTATAGCAATTGTACTAGCGTACTTGTTCTTCGTGTTCTTTTTCCCCTTCCACACCAATGGCTTCCGAAAGTATAGCTGTGCTGTGCGATAATATGAGGCTTTTTGATCTGATAGAGTGGGCAGGCGTTGACGCTGTAAAGCGGGTTATGGGGAAATAAACCTGACTGATGAAAGAATCAGGGAAATTTGGGGAAAATGCAGAAATTGATCTTTGTCTGATTATGAAACTTGGCGAAAAGAACTGTACTGAAACCGAAAGGAACTTGGTTATGACTAATAAAGTTTCTGAAGAGCCTAGGGTTCTGGGGCTGACTGCCTATGGCCTTATAAATCAAAATGATATGTATTGGAATTGTGAAGACCAACAATGGGAAAGGTATGACAATGGAGTAAAACCCACTGACCCATGTTTCTGTAATCTGCAGGTAGTTAACCTCTGGGGTGAAAGCCTCACAAGTTGTTTTATGATTAACTCAGCTAGAAGTTAAGAATACAGTGGCTGGCATGGGGCTTGGGACCTGGGGAAATGTCATAATGAATGATGATGTTCTGACTTCAAAGAATCTTTAGACTTCTTGTGAACTGCTTTGCCCAGGTAATGATTAACCCGTGGCAAGAAAGTATCATTTTCCTTGTATAAAATTTGCAGGAAAAGACTGAGGTTTGAAGCTTGGGACAGAGAGAGAGAGTAGAAGAACCTGCCCTGCAGCCGATAGCCTGTCAGCTTGCATCAGAACCCTGTGTCGGTGTACTCACTTTGCCTTCCAGACGTCCCAGATTCAAGACCCACTTTTCTTCTGAGGCTGGTCTCTGCAAAAAGGGTTCCTTGCAGTAGCTGTTGAATCAGTGACGGGCTTGAGTATGTAGCACGTGGTGGAGGTGAGAGGATATAGGTCCTGCACCGTGAAGCTAGAAGGGTTTTTCAAGTTTATGAGGACAGGATTATGATGGATAGCTATCGAAGGGTTTGAGGTGTCCCAGACTCAAGGATTGGCTAAAGGCAAGAGGCTATGGGTGGAGGCTTGGACAGGGGCACTGCTTAAGTCCAGGCTAATGAGAAATATGGTGGATATTTTAGGGAGTATTGCAACTTCTCTTATTGCTTTATTAAAAAATAAAACTCAGGAGTTAAATATTAGGAAAATAAACCTGAGAGATCCACAGAGCAATGAAGAAACAATCACCCACTCTCTTATTCACCTTTTTTGCTTGAAAAAAGACCACACATCTCCTTAGGCCCCTCCTCCTTCCTCCTCTGTGTCCCCTAACTTCCTCTCAATCCACTAGAAAACTCTATCGTCCACTCTGGCCAGTTTAGTATGGACTCTGCCTTTCGAACGAAGATCTGACTCTACTGGCACTCTTAGAACAGCAACACAAGTTCCTCACAACAAGGGGGGGGCGGATTATGTACAGAAACTTTAAGCTTAGAGAAGTGATGTGGGATTCCCCTCTGTATGCTGTGAATGTGTTTTACTACCATTGGTTAATAAGGAATCTGCTTTGGGCCTATAGACAAGGCAGAATAGAGTAAGTCAGGAATTCTAAACAGAGATGCTGGGAGAAAGTAGGTGGAGTCAGGGAGATGCCATGTAGCTTCTGAAGGAGAAAGGCACAAGCTGTCAGTTGAAATCTTACTGGTAAACCACAGGCCTCTTTGTAAAATATAAAATAATAGAAATGGGTTAGTTTAAGATATAGGAGCTAGCTGTCAACATGCCTAAGTGATTGGCCAAGCAGTGTTGTAATTAATATAGTTTCTGTGTGATTATTTTGGGTCTGGGTGGCTGGGAACGAATGAACAGTCTCCACCTATAGAATGGCACCCAATGAACGTTTGGGGCTGATGCCTGTCACTCACTTCCAGTTCAGATGCGTGTGTGCCCTCTTGGGGTCTGGAGGAAAGTAGCTGAGACCATGCCTGCAGCTCAGCGCTCCCCGCCTGGGCAGCTGATGGGTTTGGGTATGCTAGGAATGCACAGGTAGTAGAGCATGGCAGATTCCCGCCACCATACACAGAGATATTTCCAGGCCGTGCAGTGTGCTGCATGGCAGACTTAGCTTTTACTCAGATAAAAAGGGTTTATATGCTGCATGGTGCTATCCAGAGTTGAGGTGCTGAATACCGCTCCCACCTGACTGTCCCAGAGCTGGCGGTAAGGTACCTCTGCCATATTGAAAGTCTGAGAGAGGCAAAACCAGCTTCCAGGGCTGCTGCAATCACACTGCTTACCATTTTAAAGTGCTCCTGGTCAGAAAGTAATTACAGATATTCAGTAAAGACAGATTCAGATAAAAAGATTTCTAAATGGGTCATGTAGGCTTGGGAGAAAAGAAATAGTTATAAAAAAAAGTAAATGGTTTTAAGAACTAAAAAAAGTCTTTAAAAAACACAGTTCAGATAGTCATAGATTAAAGGAGTAAAGAAAAATACGCCATATAAATATTGAATATACACAGAGAGTCTGGATTATGTATATTATTGTGTTTTCTTTTAATTTTTGACTGTGAATGAGCTAAGTACAGAGAGACATTTTTATTGTACAGGCTGCTAAACTAAACCAACATATATATTTTAAAGTTATCTTGACTTCAAAATTTGGGTCTATGGCTATGTTACTTTGAGAAAGAGGTTCTGCTTTTGTTTCCACAGAAGATGAGAACCTGTGGATTTCTTCCAGGCTAATATGGTTTGCTGGAACAAGACTCCCTGAAAGGTGTAACATGAGGGCCGGCTTGTTGGGGTTTCTGTCCTGCCAGATACCCCAACAAGCTGGCAAGCCCCAAAGAAAATCACACAGAGACCTCCATAAGTTATAAAACTGATTGGCCCATTAGCTCAGGCTACTTATTAGCTCTGGTAGCTTATATTAACCCGTTATTCTTATCTATGTTAGCCACATGGCTCCATACCTTTCACAGCCGGGCAGATTACATCCTACCTCTTTGGTGGTCTGCGCAGGAGTGGGAGGAATGTGCTTCCTTCTTCCCAGAATACTCCTGTTCTCCTCACCCCACCTCTACTTCCTATCTGGTTAACCCGCCTATACTTCCTGCCTGGCCAATCAGCATTTATTTAAAATATGATTGATAGAATACAGACATTTTTCCCACACCAAAAAGGTCTCCATAAACCCCCAAAATACTTTGCCCAACAAAAACAGGAAGCAGTTTGAAAAGAACTATGCCCAAATTCCCTAAATAATTGCTTATAAATGCATGTTTTCATTTAAAGGGGGATATACTATAGAGATGAATACTTTGCATTGGTATGGATCTTGGTTTCTTGATACAAACTTAAGGTCAATTTTGTTATATGTATTTCTGCTCTTATTTAAGGCATTGTGTTTGTGCAGCTCATTTAAAAATGTAATGTATAATTAAGAAATGTAGGTTAACAGTCATCTATAATAGTCAAACTTGTAGTCATGTTAGTTAGGTTTTCTAGATGTACAGAGATATATTTCAGATGAAATAGTTATTCTTCAATCCTTTCAAAGACTAACAGAATATGGCATTTTAAATGTTTTAAGATCTTAGGACTTTTCAGAACAATGAGACACATTTGCTCCTGGCAGCACCAGTCTACTTCAAGAGGATGATGAGCTTTGAAGAGGCTCCTTATGGAGTTTGTAAGCCATTTGGACAAGAAACCGCTCTTGCCTGGACTGCTTGATGGCATGCTGTATAAAGTGGACATGCAGGACCCACAGAAAAATGTTTGCTGAACTTGCCTAAAGGTGAGACAGTCCTTCAGGGTTCCTGGAAAGAACTGCCAGACATTTTGCAGGACTCAGAAGAAAGCATCTGATGAACTTCGCCATTACAAAGCAAAACAGATGTTCAAATTTCCTGCTTCATGGAAAAGTCTGCCAGATACTATGGGCCTGTAGACTGAAGATGGATGCTTTTGGCCTATAGACAGGGTAGAATAGAGCAAGGCAGGAATTCCAAACAGAGATGCTGGGAGAAAGTAGGTGGAGTCAGGGAGATGTCATATAGCTGCCTAAGGAGAAATATGTAAGCCGCCAGTCAGAACCTTACCAGTAAACCATGAACCTCGTGGTAAAATACAAAATAATGGAAATGGGTTAGTTTAAGATACAGGAGCTAGCTGGCAATATGCCTAAGTGATTAGCCAAGCAGTCTTGTAATTAATACAGTTTCTGTGTAATTATTTCAGGTCTGGGTGGCCAGGAATGAACAAGCAATCTCCACCAAGGCGGTGGTGTTGTGGGAGTAACGTCCGTTACCTCAACCAATAGTCGCTGAAATACGAGCCCACAGTGCAGCGGGGAGCGACTTCCGCTCCATCAGCCAATAGCTGCTGAAATACCAGCCCACTGGGGCGTGGTATATTTCTCTTTTAAAAAGAGAAGCAGATCCGGATCAGGCCCTCTTGGTTCCAGTGCTTGGTCCCGGCTCCTGCTCCCGGCTCCTGCTCCTGGCTCCTGCTCCCAGCTCCTGCTCCAGCGACTAGGCTCCCTTCCTGACGGTTTATGGTGTATGTAAGTTTTACCCCCCAAAATAAATAACCCCTTAAAACATAACTGGTGTGGGATTAATTCGCCGATACGGTGGCCAAAAGATTTCAACAGAGGTTGGGGGGGGTCTCAGTGCAATCTGATGGACAGTTCATCTTCTAGTGACCCCACTGTTCACAGCTTGGACAGCCTTGGCAGAGGGACAGGGGCTAGAACATTAGTTATCTCAGTGGTCAGTTTGATTGCATCAAAAACAGGGGTGAGGGTACCTCACCTTCTTGGAACAGTGGGGCACAGGGTGAGCTAGGTGGCTGGGATTTAAGAGTTGCGACCAAGAATTGAAAGCTGGGTTGATGTCCTTGCCTATCCCTTTCACGCTCTCCTTCTTTCCTCTGCCCTCCATGTGCACATACTCACACAGACATGTATGCATACACCACACACCCAGGAAGGGAGGGGGTGGAACACTTAAGAACCAGAATTAGAGGACCTCTGCATCAAAACAGCATTTGCTGGCTATGTCTGGGCTCTTGCATACGTGAACCCACAGCTGTTGTGACTGCATACATCAGAAGGCTTGGTAAGATCAAGGCAGCCAAAAGCCCACTGTGGGTGGAGGAGGTGGTCATGAAGTCCCAGCCTTAGCTGAGGAGCTATTGGCAACTGATGGCTGCTGGGGGAGGAAGAATACATTTTCTTCAGGGATGTGAGTCCTGGAAAGCTACTCGTGATCCAGTTAGATGACTCTACACCACGCACATATAGGCAACACGACATGGACTCGGAGGGTTTTTAAAAATAATGAGGTTGGAAGGGAAAGTGGTGGTGGAGGAGTTATGGGAAGAAGTGGAGGAAAGGAATGGGGTGGATTTGATCAAATTACATTTCTATGAATGTGTGAAATTCTCTAGTGATAATTTTTTTAAAGAAATAACATTAAGCTGGTGGTGTAGCTCAGTAGTAGAGCACTTGCCTGGCAGGCACGATATCCTATGATTAATCTCCAGTACTGCCTCCCCCAAAGTAGCCTTGCCTTACCTGGAGGAATAGCCTTCCCTTGATTCACTTAGATATGCAATGTAAACGAAGTCCTGCTATTGGGGGTACAAAGGCCCTTGTGCCCACAGATTGCTAGGGAAACCAGGAATGTTAATTATCCAGGGGTGTCTCCTCGAAGAAGGAAATACCTCTTTTCCATCCAGAAGACTGGGAGTGGATATTGTTAATGACCTGGTGACCTTTGTTATCTGTAGAGGCAGACCCCATCCAAATCCCCCTGAATGTTTATTCCAGACTCTCCTTCCCTAGACCTTTATCTT